AGGAGCCCGATGTGGGGCTCGATCCCAGGACCCTGGGATCATGACCTGGGCCAAAGGCAGACACTCAACCATCTGAGCCACCCAGGCGCCCCTCCACTCTTTCTAGGTTTCTTGGCATTTTCAGTGAACAAATATGGTGGAAAATATTGTTAATAATATGTATGTGTGGGGGCGCCTGAGTGGCTCAGTCGGTTAGGCATCTGACTATTGATTTTGGCTTAGGTCATTATCTCAGATTCTCTCTAAAAAATGTGTATGTGTGTGTGTGTGTGCAAAGAGAGAGAGAGAAGAAGATATAAATTCATATATAGATAAAATCATTTGAAATAGTTCCCTCTGTGTGATTATGTACCAATTAGGTATAGTTAGTTAAGTTCATTGTTTCATTTTACTTTGACTTTTAAAGTTCCCTTTTAATGTATAAAATTTTGTTTTAAAATTATTTAAAGTATCTGGTTCTAACATCAGATCTACAAAATAAGGTATATGCCACCATGCCTGGGCTCTACATCTCTCCGCTACACATGTATTTCTCCTCCCTCTTTAGAGCTAACTTCAAAAATCCTGACATTCCATTTTACTTGTTATAAAAAATGCATACACAGTAGCATAATTTCCCCTCCCCTCCTTTTCCAACTACATGGTAGAAAACTTTAATGCTTTCTCTACATTGCTTTTCTCATTTGAAAATATATCCTGGAGATCAGCCTATGGCTGAGATTTCCCTCATTCCTTTTGCCGGCTAACTAGTACTCCATGATTCATTTATGAAAACAAAATGAAATAAATTTTTCAACATTGATCTAAAAAATGACTCAATTTGCTTTCTAAGAAATTTCCAAGAGTGATGTAAGTAAAGTGACTAAGTACACAGCTCCAAGCTTCCATTCCCCCACAGAAATATGAAAAAACACAAGCAGAAATCGTCAGAACCAACATTGTCAGAACTCTGGAACTTCAGAGTCATAGTATATATCATATAATCAAAGACTTACGGTAACCAAGTGAACACAGATTCACGAAAATTTAACTTAAAAACAGTAGAAAAGCATTCAGTGTTTTGCTTGCCTTTGCCCTATCCCCTCTCTGGCTGGGCAGCAGGCTTGAAGACAGCAGCCTGCCTTTCCACTGAGGGGACCGGTTCCAAAGGAAGCGCGGAGCAGGATTTACTTGCACATCTGTTCTAACCTGACTGGGGGATTAGCTGAAGGAGTGGTGCAAGGTGCTCATTTCTGTTTTCTCTAATTTGGAACTCACTGAGGACAGAAGAGCAGTAGGTATTATTTGAAAACACTGTAAAAGTGAATGGACAATTTGCAGACAGCTGAGACAAGACATTACAGTTGAGACATATAATAGACAGCTTACATCGTAGGAAGGAAACTTGGAGAAAGTTTCTTTGTGAAACAGAAACAAAAAAAATACCCATATTTATGGGGAAATTTAGAAAGCCATGCCCAAGTCCAAGGCAAAATGAATACTCAGAAAAGATTCTTCTTAAGCTTTGACCTCAGATGGACCTTAGGCTCAGTGGAAATCCAGCTAAGTGTTAAAGGAAGACTTCAGAAGAGAGCCAATCTGCAAAGACCTTAAAAGTGATTGTTTTCCTTACCTCTAGTGCTCAAGAAAATCTCCATCAAACACAAGATGAATAAATCCTAAGAAACAGAGACTGTAGAGACCACAAATGAAGGGAATACAATCTCTAAAAAAATAAAAATAAATAAAAGGAAAAGTCACTAGACAAATGACTAGTGAAGGTTGACCTTCAACAACGTTCAACAATCAAAATGTAAAATAAAAACAAAAACCCTGGGGAAAAGGAAGAACATGACCTCCAGAGTTACCATATTATTCAACTGTCCAGTTTTCACAAGACATACAAACTCACAAGAAACTATATGCTATCTACAAGAGACTCACTGTAAATATAATGGCATGAATAGGTTGAAAGTGAAAAGATGGGAAAAATGAGCTGAGTGGCTATGCTGATACCAGAAAAAATAGGCTTTAAGTGAAAAACTGCTACAAGAGACAAAGAAGGACATTACATAGGAGGGTCAATTTCATCAAGAAAACGTAACAACTATAAACACATGTGCACCAAACAGAGCCTCAAAATAAATACAGCAAACATTAACAGAATTGAAGGGGAAAATATATAGTTGGAGACTTCAAAACACCATTTTAATACAACACCTAGACAGGAGATCGATCAGGAAATAGTGCACTTGTACAACACTGTAAACCAATTAGACCTAACAAATATATAGAACACCCAATCCAACAACAACCAAATACCATTCTTCTCAAGTACACATGGAATGCTGTCCCAGAGAAACTATGTCAGACCATAAAACGGTCTACATAAATTTTAAAAGACTGAAATTGTACAAAGTATTTTCTCTGATTGCAAAGTAATAAAGCTGGAAATCAAGAGAATAAAACAAGAATATTTACAAATATGTGGAATTTAAGCAACACATCTTTAAACAACCAATGGGTCAAAACAAAAATCAAAAGGGAAATTAGAATATACTTAGGGAGAAAAGGAAAAAAAAACAGCAAAAAACACAACATAACAAAACTTAAGGGATGCAACAAAGGCAATACTCAGAGGGAATTTATAACTGTAAATGCACGTATTAAAAAGAAAGATCTCAAATCAATAACCTAACTTTACATCTTGTGGAGCTAGGGGAAAAAAAAACATTGAAAATTATTAGAAAGAAGAAAAAATAAAAGATTCAAATGGAGATGAATGAAATAGAGAACAGAGACAACAGAATCAACAAAACCAAAATTGGTTCTTGGCAATCTGCTGGGTGTGGAGGTAAGAGCAATGGCACAGTACAACCAAGAACGCATGGTCAGCAAAGGGTATCAACTTTCAGTTTAAGTTTGGGGGATCTAACATCCAGCCTGGTGACTATGGTTAATCATCCTGTATTGTATGCTTGAAATTTGCTAAGAGTAGCTCTCAAGCACTCTCACCACACACACACACACACACACACACACACACACACACACAAGCTAAGGATGAGGGAGTTGATGGCTGTTAGTTTCACTGTGCTAATCATTTCACAATGTATACACACATCAGAACATCACACTGTACACAACAGTTTTATCAAAAATTAAAAAAAAAATTTTAGAAGAACCCATGATCAGATAGGAGGCCTTTCAGCCAAGTGTTTAGGAAGTCTGACTTTCCAGGCCCTCAGTACTGTATGAGGCTACTCGTTCTGGGGCATCTTAAAGGAACCTAGCAGCCTTTGATAGCAGGAATTCTAGAATGTTAGACTTGAAGGAGTATTTAGAGATCACCAACCCTGCTGCAAGGTGCTTATTACTGTATGTAAAAGAACTGAGTTAGAGATGATAAGTGGTGTCCCAAGGTCCTGAAGCAAGTTCAAAGCCAGGACTAGCACCCAGGTCTCCTTATTCCTGTTGATGTATTTAATACACTATGTTGCAGCCTTCGTGTCTTTAAGCAGGTAACCCGGATATAATGGGGAGCCAAATCCCTACCCCTACCCTGTGACTTGTAGTAATCCAAAGACTTCTATAAAGACTTCACCCAATTTCCAAGGTGTAGGAGGTGAACGTTCTCCTGGCCACCTGTGTTTTAAGAAGGGGCTAGACTAGGGGCACCTGGGTGGCTCAGTTGGTTAAGCAACTGCCTTCAGCTCAGGTCATGATCCCAGGGTCTTGGGATAGAGCCCCGCATCGAGCTCCCTGCTCAGCGGGAAGCCTGCTTCTCCCTCTCACCCTCCCCCTGCTTGTGTTCCCTCTCTTGCTGTGTCGCTGTCAAATAAATAAATAAAATCTTAAAAAAAAAAAAGAAGGGGCTTTCTAGTGTGCCAAGCTCTCCACACATGGCCACAGTTTAACATCAAACTCAGCCACATTACACAAAATCCACCCAATCATACTGGGTACCTCCTACTGCAGATCAAAAGGAGCTACTTTAATTGCATATTTAATTTATTTTAATTGGCCTGTAGATATGTCTACTTCTTTCACGGTCAACTTTTATCCAGTAATTCTTTAGAAAAGGAAGGTTGAAATCAATATACTTTCTTCAACACTGCACGTCACTGGTGTGCCTTATGCATCTGGTAGTGATATCAGTAGAGATATATTACAGAGATCGTTTAGATTTCCTATTATATTTGCCAGAGAAGAAATTAAGGCCTAGAGAATGTGCTCCAGGGAAGCTAGTTATCTCTTTAAAAATTTAGTAGTCATGAAAAATAGGATATTTTCAAGATACCTTCTAATTTCTGCAGCATCGGTTTCCGTATTGCGGCTAATCAATCAAAAAAAGAAGAAACAAACTTGTAAAGATAAAAAGTTAGGGGCACCTACGTGGCTCAGTTGGTTAAACAACTACCTTCAGCTCAGGTCATAATCCCAGGGTCCTGAGATCCAGCCCCATCGGGCTCAGCAGGGAGCCTGCTTCCCCCTCTGCCTGCCACTCTCTCTGCTTGTGCTCTCTGACAAATAAATAAAATCTTAAAAAAAAAAAGATAAAAAGTTAAGTGGTAGTTGTACTAATATCTATTTTCTCAAAATCTAGAGTACGAGGTATAGTGCATACTTGAGTTGTTGCACTCATGGAGTCTTTTGTCATTCGGATTATTCTGTGAATATCCACTTACCTATTTTTTCACCCACATACATCAAACTAAGTCACCAACCACCACACACAAAACAAAGCCACTTCTCTAAGCAACTTCAGACTTAGGGATATTTGTTGAGGACTTCAATGTACTAGGTATCGGCATCCGATCTGAGAGTATTTGTTGACAATTTCAAGTACTAGATATCATCATCAGTGCTCTACATGGTTACAGAATGTGGATGCAACTGGAGTAAGAGAAAATTCTGTTTTTAAACAAATATATATATTAGAGTTACTTCATAAAGAAAAAAACACTCCTCCCAGAACTTCCCAAATCCTTGGATGCAGTAAAGAAAACATGAGACCATTGTAAGAAATGGATGACTTTATTAAGAGAGAAGGACAAGACTGGTTTTTGCCTCAAACCATCCAGGAAAACAAGCACACAGACATATACATACTTTGGTTTAAAAATTATTCATAATATTAATGTTAAACCTGATATTTAAAGAATCAAATGGGACATGAGTATAGAAAACAAACCATAAAAACGTAAGCTTGCATAGATGAACTATGTAGATGTAGAACTGGCATTTAAGGGAGGCAGGAGCACTGGAGAGTGCTGACTGACAAGACCACCTCAACCTCCCAAGACACACGGAAGTCACCAGCACCATGTTTCTCGTGTTCCTCAATGAGGTCATGAACAGGAACGACTTGTGCTGTGAAGGTGAATGGAAATAGACGGTTTCCGTCAGCCTAGTCCAGATGGGTGTGTACATACCCACCAGTACTCAACACCAGTCACCTTTAAGGCATCCAGAGAGTGTCCCTCACAGTTTCATCTAATCTCTAAACAGGCATGTGGTTTGAGGTGGCCTCTTTGTTTTCTGTCCTCAGACAGACAACTGGATTCCATTAAGGTTCTGTTCAGTCCCATGAAGTAGCTATTTCAAAGCTGCCTTTCCTTCTGGGGCTTGGCTACAAGTTGATGAGCACTTGGGTTAACATCTCACTCATTTTTTAAACATATCCACATTTCAGATGCCAAAGGGCTTCTTACCAAAGAATCCGAAACTGCCTGGACACTATGCAATTTTTCTCAGGAAAGCACTTTTCTGAATTATAAGACAAATGACAGCACCACCTCTCCTTTCCTGAGCAACTTGGTTTATATGTGCATACTCCTGTACTTTATAATCCAGCACCTTTTCAAAATATAATGTTGTTCCAGGATGGATTCTTTTTAAGGAAAACCCTATTATAGAGAATTCTCATTGTGGAACACCTATATGCTATCTTCCCACTGTATCTCCTCATTATTTATAATACTTCATGAAACAAATACTGGGCTGCCTTTAAGAGGCAGGTGAAAAATATAGCTACTTCTGAAAAAGGGCATTTGGCTTTCAGTTTATAGCAAGAGCTAAAGTTATAGCCTACAGTGATTTCAGGGGTTAATTCAATCAGAAATAAAACAATTCTGACATCAAAAACCCTCTTACTAAATTTAATAGCTAGAAACTATTTTAGCAATTATGGTATGAAATTCAGTGCAACAAAAATATAGCCTAAGTATGCAATGTGTCATGGTATATTCTCTTAGCTTTTTACTGCTTAGTCCTTGCTCTTTTGTGAAGGACATGTCCCTCAAAAACCCTGTCTTTCAATTCTCCTGTTCTTTCTATATGAACCTCAGCAATGAATAATGGGGCACTAACTAAGATGCATAATTAATTCTGTCCTCATCTGAAATGCTGACAGTGCCGGCTCACTGTGCTATCACAAGTTATTCAAAAGGAGAAACCCATCCTCTAGTTTGCCAAGAATAAACAATAGCATATAAAATGCATTAGGAACATGTTCCTAGGCAGTATTGACAAATACAGAAGGGAAGAAGATGGTTTCCAGCACTAGATATTTCCAACAAATCAACATGATTACTTAGATGATTCTGTCAATTTATGGCATCAAACACAACCTTACAAAAACACTCTGGTGTTTTCCTTACCACAGCAGAAGTTTTCCTGGTTAATTTTCTTCTAAAAGTAATAAAATAGAAACACTCTTCACATCTAAGGAGCTCCCATTTCAAGTAAATGTCTCTGTTTTGTTCGGTTCTCTTTTTTTTTTTTTTTGTCAATGGTATGCATTTAAAAACACAAGAGTGTTGGTGAAATCCTCACAAAACAATAATAATTGACTTTGCTACACAATACAGCCTTTGGAAGTATCTTCTACATAGTCACTTTGAACAGAAAGACAGTCAACTCTCAATTATTCAGGAAGTGATAACCTGGACAGTCTGGCGAGGGAATTCTCACTCTCCTTCCGCCAGCCTGTTTTGGTCATGCCACTGCTTGTTCACAGATTGAGAGGCAACTCAATGAAATGATGTATCTTATCAGTGTACAGGTCACCCATAGCTCAGTGGGAGGAAATCCAGAGTTTCTGATGGCAAGGATGTTTGTGGAGATCACCCGTGAATTGTGTATCTCAATGGAGAGTTGACGGTCATTCACATATAGGAAGTACAGTACACTGACCTTGGTCAGAATCAAACTAATTTAAGGCAATACTGCTCCTCGAGACACTGCTGGCACAAAGTGCAAGCCTCATCAGAAAACTGACTCTGTAAGAAGTAAAATTTTCCCAGTTTACCCCTTCCTTTTTGACTTCTCTGGAAGAAAATTGCAGCATTTCTCACAACAATGAAATGTCAGGAGCAACAACAGCCTTGACTCTTCCCTTTAATAATCCTAAGTATCATCAGAGATAAATGAGATTCTCTGACCAGGAATCTGGATGACACTGTGCCCCATGCAGCATTATCAGAACAGTCTCCAGTTCGCTCCTCCCTGACCACATTCCCTGTTATAAGCTAAAGGAGAAAAACAGGATTCTATCAACAGTTAAGATAAGCAGTTATGGCTTTAAGACTCACAGGCACCACCAGATATGAGGAGAAAATGGGACCACTTTATCTAGTCGCTTCTCTGACTACGAGTAGTAAGTAAGGGACCAAGTACTTTAAAAATCTGTTTTTTCCTTTCGGCTGAAAGAACAAGTTTTGGTTATTTTATGACTGTTTCTAAAAAGCCTGCATTATGAGAATAATGGCACACTACCTGCAGTGAAATCTACCTGAACGGTGTTCCCTTTCACACAAATACTGTTTTCCCAAAAGGGAAAAAAGCCTTTCAGTGCAAGTTCTATTCTGTTCTCAGTCCCTCGGAAAGCTGATTACACCGGGGTCTCACTCCCTTTATTTAGAGGGAAGCTTTTACATCCAGTCACCAGTTACCTTTCAAGAAAACCATCACTGAATAAATGAGTAATTCTGATATTCCCCAAAGTGATTTTTATACAAAGGCAACACCCATTACAAAATCAAGGCCCTAAAATGTTAACCACTGATGTGGTAAACTGAGTGCACCATATTATATAGCAGGTGTTTCCAAAGAACAATTTGGCACAAGACAAAAATTAGAGAATATCTGACAGTATTGAAGAAAATAATTATCCATTAAAAGTTAATTACATTTATACTGAAAAGTCCTGACATCGATGGAATGTGTGGACAGAGTCAGCAATGACTTTATTCACCATCCAGTTCGGCTGCAGACCATAGCAGAAAAGAAAAGGGGAAAACGGGTCCGGTTCACAATTTTCTAGAGTGAGTTCAGTGGAACACAAGGCCCGAGGTCACACACCTTGGAATATGTTGATCGAGATCCAAGTGGCCGCTGCAAATCTGAAAAGATTTTCCTCCTGGGAAACATCTATCCATATCTTTCTTTTCTAATTTAGATGTTTCTCTATGATCAAAAACCTAAGTCTTTTTTGAAGTTCGTTAGTCTGTTGCTGGTTGTTGTAAAGTCACTCAAGAAAAAGTAATTCAAAGGTATGCAAAGTCACTTTCTAAAAATCTCAATGTTCTTTCAAAGCATATGTAGCAACTGTCCAGTCTCCTGCAAAATAATTATGTCTAACCATGGTTTCACAGCACAAATTTTTTTCAACTCAGAACATTTAATCTGACCCTTGTCGGACCTTGCTTCCAAGCAATGAATTACAAAAAGTCAGGTTGGGGGAAGAGGGTGTACACATCCAGAAGCCTTATGATAAGGCTCAAAACATACTGTGCTCATTCAGCAATACTAGTGTTAAATGGGGCCTCCAGAGAAAAGAAGTACAGAAAGATTGCCAAGGCCAGAGTATTAGTTTGCGTCACAACATTAAAGCATAATACACTGTGGGCCTAAAAATTAAATTGTGTGTGGTCCAGTGGTAGAAAGAGGAACAAAACATTTCCACATTTATAGAAATATAACCAAGTGAAAAGCAGAGAACACAGTGAAGAATGTTTGGCAGTTCCTTTTAATATAGTTGTTAGTTACTTCTATAGTCTTAAAGATAATAATTATAATATTTGAATGAGAATAAGAGGATTTAACTAAGAAGACAAGAATTACTCTGGATACTCTTTAAAAAGTGTTCGCTTTACAAAAAAATAAAAATATTTTAAAATTCTAATTTTTTAAAAACCTAAAAAAAAAAAAGTAACAAATTTTCAATACAGATGTTGAATTGGGTGTCACGGGGAACTATATCACCTCTGGCCGCTCACTAAGACAGCTGAAACACTAACATCCAAGGCTTAAATGTTAAGTGGCCTCACATTTTTTTGAATGAAAATATCTCCAGATAGCATTTTACAGTAATAAATATGATTGGATAAAGTACATGAGAAGCAAGACAAGTGCAGAATTTTTAAAGTAAATCTGATCACTGCATGAGATAGAAAAATAAACATGTATGAAATAAAAATACGGCAAATGATGTTGCCTATCAAAATAAAAATACATTGTGTTTTCTTTAAAGTTACCACAGAAAAACTTTTTAAAACATGAAGCAAAATCACAGGGCAGACAAAGAAAAACATAGCATTACTAGAAGTCAACAAGGCCTAAGTTTTGGATACTGAAAGCACCCTCTAGAATGTGACTAAGGCTAGGACCTCCATCTCACCAGCCCTTGCCTATTTAACTCTCCTTCATTCATTTCATCAGGGTCATTCAAAGTCCTGTTTGTTTTTCTCTTTCCCCATTTCTTGAAAATGACATCTTTTAGGGTTTCTTTCTAGATTATCATTTCCCTAAAACTTGACTCTTAGCTACCTTTTACCCAAGTTTCTACAATCCAAAAACGTTATGAACTAAAGATCTTTCTCAAAATCAAAGGTCCCAAATCCACTCCGAGAAACTATCCCAAATAGCTTCCTGAATATTGCCTGACTTGAAAGACTATCCGGAAAGATAAGGCAAACAACAGGCAGTTCCCAGTGGGAAAAAATGGATTAACAACCTTTCCCCTGTCATCTGTGTATTTCTTTCCTAAAACAAACACTACACTGGAATGTCAAAAACATCAGATTTATACAATGAAAAATAATGGAAAGTCAAGCCGAAGAAAAATTTTTATATATGTGTAGCGTGACTGCCATTTATGTTAACTAACAAGTATGGGAAAATAAGTATTTCCACAAAGTTAAGGGCTGGACAAAGACTAGATTTCTCAAAGAGGGCTTTAAAGGTCCTGTACAAAGGAATCCAATGCCATGTATCACTAACGAATATGTAGAGCCAAATACCTGGGTAAAGAACCATTTTATCTACTTCAACTTCACGTTGAATTAATCTGATTACTGACAGATAAAATATTTTTTGAGTGGCTGCCAACAAATACCACTGTTTTTTAAGTAAGAGGAAAACTTATCCATCTATGCCCAGAGAGAATGCTGGCATTATCACTTATATAAACATCCTTCCGATTCCACTTCCCTGGGCTCTATATGTAAATGTAAAAGAAGAGAAGGGGTGCAAAGTTTTTCACTTTTTCACTTTCAGTTGACTTTGCACAGACCTGAGTTAATAGTTCATAGAATTAAACTTTTGCCAATAAATACTAATAAATAGCCCAGTGCCCAGAGGACTCCGAAAGACTTGTTATTCAGCAGAAGTAGAGAAACTGTCAGAGAATGACATCTGGGCCAATTCGCCTAGGAGAGCTTATAAGGATATGCAAAACTGCTACAGTCCTGCTGGTCAAAATAACATGCTCCAACTGTTCCAGGTTTTGTTTGTTTGTTTTAATACTTTATGGTTGTGAATTTTTTTATTTTCCTGAAGAATACAAAAAGCAAAAGATTCTTCAATATACCATACACTAATGCACAAAAAAAAGCTGTTTCTTATATTCTTTTATTCTGTATTGCATCCAAACATTGTTTTACTCTGATCATAATCTCCACAAAATTCTAACTGCTAAATAAAGCCTAGTCTCTAGACACTAGTACTCCACACCTAACAAAAATGACATTTTACAGAGCTTTTAGATACTATATCCCAGGAAGCATATGCAGCAGAGAAGTGGCCAATATTCAGAAGCTAGATTTTCTTGTACTGCCCAAGTGATCAGGAATAACCAAAAACGTTTTAAATGAATTAAAATTATTTACGGCCAGAAGAACACTTGAAGATAAATCCCAGGAATACAAACACAGGAGGGAAAAAAATGAGTGGGGAACGCATTCTGTATCATCCAGTAATGATTGCTACAGTGAGTCCGTTCTCAAGGCAGATTCCTAGGGTTTTACTGCTTATGATGGAAACCTTGGAAAGGAGAAAATAAGAAACACCATTAAGGAAAAACCTCAGAAATGCTCTTTCTCCTTGCTCAGGCAAAATAATTTATCTTTATTTCTATGCATGTTTTCTTAGTTCTTGATTGTAAAATATTTACATAGTCACTGTGTTATTTTAGTATTATATATCAAATGTATGTCAAAGACAAAAAGGCCTCCCCTAAAAAGTAGTGCATTCATTTGAGGGAAAAAAAATCATGAGCTACTTCCAGTTAAGCCAGCCCATGATGGAAAGTCTACCAACTGATGGAAATTACAGTGTATGGGGTTGTTCTGGTAATGTCCAACTAATTCCACCTTTTACATAATGTCTTTTGTCGGATCAACACTGGATGAATGTCTAAATGGAGAGGGTTGGGGTGAGGAGAGCTATCTAAAAAAACATAAATGCTTGGCAACCTCCCTCCCCTGGAAATTCTCATTTAGTCAGTCTGGAGTAGCACCTGTACATTGATATTTTGTAATGACCACTGGGGGGGGGGAAATTAAGTTTGGGAAGATTTGGAAAAGGATAATAAAAACATGACCTAAGAAATCTTCAAAAGCTGTAACAAACAAGACATCAATTTACAGTACCTAATATTTGTAAAGTCTATTGCAATGTGCTTTCATGTATTTAATTTACACGATCCTGACAACACTGACACTACTAAAATCACTTCCACTTTTAGATGAAAAAATTAATTACCACCTTTTCATTATTTCATTTATTGAGTATCATAAAAATACACATAAGTGAATTAGTGTACACTTGGAAGAACAGCTACATGCAACTGCTGAGGGGACAGCAGGCTGACTGCAGACAGAGCAGAAGCTGACAACCTACAATCTCCCCACCCCCCTCCTGAGTGGGACCTGTGTGACAGTCCTCCAGGAATCTCCTCATCTTAATGTTAATGCCTCGCTAGAGGGGAAAAACAACCTTAACTTGACCATGGCAAGGCCTCCGGTACCTTGTAGGTCCTCCTTAGCGGATGAAAGTTCTCTGGAAACCTCCCTTTCCCTTACCTCCCCCAACCCCATAGTATATAATCAGTCACCCCTCACCACCCGATGCAGCAGCTCTTTCTGCCCACGGGTCCTGACCCCCTGCTTTAATATACCACTGTTTTGCACCAAAGATGTCTTCTTAGTCATCGGCTCCGGACTCCACCTCACTGAACCTCACCTATCTATTCCTTTCATTTTAAAGATTTGGTACATATAACATAAAAAATTAAATTAAATTAAATTAAATAATAAAATAATAAAATAAAATAATAAATAAAATAATAAAATAAAATAATAAAAATAAAAAAATAAAATAAGTAAAAAAATAAAATAAAATAAAATAAAATGAAATACAATACAATACAATACAATACAATACAAAAGATCTGGTCCAACTTAGACCTCATATTCTTTCCTCATCTCCTTTGCCCTGATTTTCTTTCGTGTGATAAAAGTTTTGTGTGAATTGTACACGTATGTGTGTACTTTATTTTTTATTTTTTAATTTTTTTTAACTTTTATCTAAATTCCAGTTAGTTAACATAGTGTAATATTAGTTTCAGGTGTACAGTATAGTGATTCAACACTCCTCTACATAGCACCTGGAGCTCATCACAGTGCCCTCCTTAATCCCAATCACCTATTTCACCCTTGCCCCTCCTTTCTGATAACCACCACGTTGTTCTCTATAGTGAAGAGTCTGTTTTCTTGGTTTGACTCTCTTTTTTTCTTTTCCCTTTGTTCCTTTGTTTTGTTTAGAGTCACCCTTTAACAAGCTGATGAAAGCTACAAATTCTCCCTGGAGGAAAATGCACATACATACACAATCTTGCATTCAGGTTAAGGTGTTTTGTTTTCTGTTTTATCTTTTTTTTTTAACAAATGAAGAATACCGTAATAATAATCTTCCAAAAGGAAGGATAACTTATTTTGCCACTCTAGCAATCTATAAGACATCATCTGATATTTCCAACATAGCATGAGGATTATTAAAAAAAAATCCTAAGCTTGATCATATATATTTTTCTTACCTTTATGAGAGGATTCTGATTTTGAGAAATGACGTGTGGAATTATGCTGGTTTGTAAAATGAGTGTAATCCAAATCTTCAGCCTCTGTCATGGTAGGTGGTGGTGGCCTGAAGGGAAGTCAGAATTTAAAGAGATATTCTAATAAGTGGTGACCACAACTCCACCTCTCATTGGAATACATGGTAAAACATTTTGGGAGAAATACAAAGCCACAGTGTAGTAGAATTCTCACCTTAGTTCCTCGCCTACTGCATAATCTTGAATAAATTATTTTATCTTACTGCTCCTTTGCTTTGATGCACATAATTCAATAAAAACAAGTATTTTCTGAGCACCTAATATGTGTGAGGCACTGTGCTAAGGACTAGAGAAACAAACATTAATGAGATGTGTGACCACTGCCATTGATGAGAAATTGACTTTGTTTTGGTAGTTTTTATGAAGAAAAAAGGCAAGGATAGAAGGGAAGTAATAAAGAAAGTTAAGAAAGGAAGAAAAAAAATGGAGGGAGGGTGAGGGTGGCAGGTAAGGCGGGAGGACAGGAAAAAAGGAAAGGGGAGGGAGAGGGCATGGGCCAGCATATAAAATCTAGAGCAAAGTCCCTCAATCCACTAGGTGGCAAAGCAGAGCTGAGAGAAGGAAAGGACAGTCCTACACTGGCAACTTTTCACGCCAAAAGAAGACAAAATGTAAAAAACACTGGGGCATTTTTGCTACTCCAAAATTTTAATTATTTTAAAATCATGTTACATAGATTTTCTTGCAAACATTTGGCATTGATGAAGATAAGAACAAAACCCTTTTTTTGGTTGTTGTTTCTCAGAGGTATACTTAAATGTTGCATTAAAGCACAGAACCAGATGAGGGAACAGAATACATCAAATATATAACCACGTTGTAGGATGTTTTTTGTAACCATATATGCAATGTGGAAGGCGTAAGTATACTAGAGTTCAGAAAGTTATGCTGAGTTTGGTACAAAGGGCTCTGTCATATAAGAATAAAGACAAATGATTTTAAATTTCCCACTCTGTCCCTAAGCACCAGGTCTCTTGCTGCCACAGGTCAGCACAGGATGTAAACTTGTGTATATATTGAGGACTGTGCTATGGGTTCTACTCAGATGATCTCAATTAACTTTCAGTACAAGTCTGCAGGGCAGCTATCATCACACACATATTTTAGAGGTAGATTAGGTTAGATGAGGTAAGTGATCTGTCCAAGCTCAAACAGCTGTTAGGTGGCAGGGGTGGAGCTCAAACTCAACTGCAGTTCAAAGTCAGGGTGCTCTTTACTACACTCTGCTGTGCTACACAGGTGTGTATTTTTATCAGCAGCAGTATCGGCATTCAAGACTACCCCCACACACACACACATATGTATCTTATACTTCCAAATGGTATTTGGCTTATTTTTTAATATTTTCATCCTTTTGTTATACATATATAATATATAATATAATTAATGTGAGCATAACAAATGATATGGTATTTTTAGTTTTTCTTTCTGTAACTGATAAAGACAAATATTCCTTTCAAGTAAAAAAGACTTCAGTTCTACCAGTCATAGGTCACTTTCACTTATTTATAATAGCTATTTTTAATATAGGCTCATTTGATTATTCACTCTTCAATATGTCAAATATTTTTAAAGTTAACTATTACATTTCAGAAACTTGTTTTCAACTTTAATACATCTTTTTAGATAGACATTCCAGATTGGTCTATCATATCTGATGTCAAAATTATTAGTGTTCTAAAGAGCCCCAAAATTTGGAAGACTGCAGAAAAACCCAAAAGATTATTTTAATTCAGTTGACTAAAGGAAACATAATAAGCCATGCCTGTTTACCTACTGAGAAGAGATTAATTACTTCTTATTTTACTTGGATATTGCAGGGATGAAAATAAAGTTGGCCTTAAAAAAAACCTTTGGCATGTAGTTAACTAAAAGATACAAGAAGAACCAACTTTAAACAATTGACAGAATATACTACTGTTGCCCTAAGAGCCTTACAAACCTGATGTAGTTTTCTGAAGGATATTATCTTCTAAAAGCCCATGGGTTTAAAAACAAGAATACAGCTTTTTTTTTTTTTTTTAAAGTAGGTGGGCGTGGAGGAGCCAATGTGGGGCTTGAACTCATGACCCTGAGATCAAGACCTGAGCTGAGATCAACAGTCAGATGTTTAACTGACTGAGCCACCCAGGCATCCCAAAAGAATTTGGCCTTTTAAGGACACTAAATATATTCACTTTAAGTCAGTAAGTCTAGCAGCTTAAGTGTGGGCAATGAGTGGCAACAGTGTATATTTTTCAATGTGATAAAAGTTAACACATAAATTAATAATTAGGACCAATATTCAAAGTTTTAAAAGAGTTTTCAAATGTTAAATTTAGTGTTACTTTTGTCTTTTTGTATATAATACTGTTTCTATTCCAATCAAGTTTTGTTTTGAAAAGCAACAGAAAGCAATAAAGGACAAAAAGAAAGAAAAAAAAAAAGGATTGCTTCCCCAGGGACTTAAATATTGCCAACTTCAGGTATGAGGCAGAGAGACAGCAACTGCTCCATGAACTATGACCCAAGACTCTTTGAGAGAAGTCTGAAAGTACATACACCATAACCACAGGTATTTGATCTAGTGGGATTTAGAATAGTCCACCATGTCTCAAATAAGTGTTTTCCAACACTTTGAGACTCATGCAGAAACGAATTTAAGCAGGTGTAAATGTCATGCACACACCAGTGTGACCATGAAACTCTAGCCCTGCATAAGTAAAACTTTAAACTTTAAAACCTGAGATTTTACTGGGAAAATGGTTAAGCTCATCCCTTCTTAGCTGAGGACAGTGAATCCAAAGACAAGAATTGGTCCTAACAAAAAACACAGCATTCTTTATATGCCCTAGTTTCTATAAAATTACAATCTTCCTGATTTGACCTGTTCAATCCAGGTTAAGAATGGAAACAAAGTCTGAGAATAATCCTGCAAGACTTGATACCACTTCACAACTGCCGATTTCTGGATCTCCTCTCTAAAGAACACTCTTCTCAGACAATCCACATCTTCTTACTCACCCCAAAGTCAAGTTCCTCACTCCCCTTTTCAGGTGGCATCTTACCGTGCTGGCCTGTCATTCTTAGAACGGTGAGGGTCATCACTCTCTTTTGACTTTGAGTGTGCCGATTTAGTTGTTTTTGGCTAAGGACAGAAAAAGAAAAAAAAAAAAAGACAGAAAGAAAAACACACATATAGAAAACGGCAAATAAAGATTGTTAGGTTTAGAAAATATCTAAATCATGTCAAACTCTAGTAATTTCAACTTACTTACATTCAGTTGAACAACCTAAGATATTTTTACATATGGTCACTCAGAGATAAAAAAAAAAAAATTATAGTCACATGTGTACGCTGGAAGTGGTCAGGGCAGCCAGATGAGTGGGCTAACTACACATGAACATGCTCCCCAACAGCAGTGTGCCCAGCTACCCAATATTAACATAATAGCTGCACAGCAGCTGACAAGAACTTCCCGAGTCTACGGAATGTAGGTCTGTGCTCTTAAACTTATTTCTGAACATCTGACTTGGGGATGGCGATTTTCAAGCCAGGAAACTAAGGAACATTCAATCCAACCTTTCTAAGAGAAGAACTATACCAGCACCAATTACAGAATCTAGAAATTAAAGAAATCTTGATACTTGCTAGAAATGTGGCTTTCCCCCTTTACTTGCCTGATTTGCGATTCCTTTTTTTTTTTTTTTTAAGATTTTATTTATTTATTTGACAAAGAGAGACAGCGAGAGCAGGAACACAAGCAGGGGGAGTGGGAGAGGGAGAAGCAGGCTTCCTGCTGAGCAGGGAGCCCGATGTGGGACTCGATCCCAGGACCCTGGGATCATGACCTGAACCGAAGGCAGACGCTTAACGACTGAGCCACCCAGGCGCCCCCTGATTTGCGATTCTTAAAACTACTTATTTCTTCATGGTTGAGCTAACAAAGAATTGAGTAACTCCCAGGCAATTATTTGTAGTTTAACTTATATAGCAGAAGCATTTGAAATACATTTAAGAAAAATCCTGAATTACTAAGAGGGTAAAAGAAGGAGAGACCTATACATAATTAATAATGCTTTCATTTGTTTACAGACTGACAACTGAATAATTGAGCAGCAGGAAACAGTAGAGCAATGCTATCATCATGGTTTCTAAGTCCTCTTTTTCCTCCTAATCAGTGCTGAAACTGAGACAGAACCAGAGACCCAAGGGAGGAATTTGTTCGAGAGAGAGAGAGAACAGTGCTAAACATCACTATGTCATGAGTACACAGCCTAGCTGCATCCTCCCAGGCCTAGTACAAACTCCCTCTCTGAAAAACCTGTACCTTAGGAATTCTTCCTCCCTGCAACTCTGTTCTTCTACTCTGTTTTCTTCAGCCAGCTTGACCTTGTATTTGTTAGCTGTCTACATTGTCCTGTTTGTCTTCCTACATTATACAGTATTATGAGGAAAATATATCTTTGACCTTCCCTGTTAAGTCCAGAGTGGTACACTGCACACAGTAACTAAAGAGTCAAGTCTGTGAAACTGGCTTGCAACCACCATGTACAACAATTACATTACTTTACAGCAGAATAAACTGCAGTCACTATTTTGTCTAGTGTTTCTGACTAATGAGGGGAAGACGACAGTCCAAGCTCTTGCTAGACAATTCCTACTTTCTGACATAAGCAATGGTTGCTGGTGGTATCTGCCAGTCTGCCATGGATCAAGTTATGTCAGAGGAAAGAGAAATAATGGCTACATGATCATGGATGGACAATATAAGCATGCAGAGAAAGTAGAAAGAGAAAGAAAAGGCCACTGGGGAAAAAAAAATAGTGAAAATACTATATTCTCCTGTAAGGTAAATATTAGTAAAACTAAGATTGCTCATGACCAGAGGCACTTGCACCTCAACTGATCTTAAAATCAATGGAATGAGTTTTCAATCTTAGCAGTTATCTTTTCAGAGTTACTTTGAAGAATTAAGATTTTTTATAACGAAGTCACTTTTACAATTAGATTCATACACGCACTACAGAGAATTTGTATACCCTAAATACAGTTGCAGACTTATCCTAAAAGCAAAGTCCCCAACATAAAAATCAGAAAAACAATAAACAGAACTTACCTTCCAATCAGGGTCATGCTTCCTTTTGTCCAAAGATGATTTCTCCCGCTCCTTGGCCTTCTTGTAAGCTTTCTTTTCTTCAGCCATGAGAAGTCTAGCGATTTCCTAAACAAAATCCAGTCAATACCATTGACTGCAGAGTTGTGGGCCAAAACTACTGGGATATTTCTAAAGAGCACTGGCTAAACAGACTTATTAACTAATATGAACTCACCTCATCCTGCGCTACTTGAGCTGCTCTCGTGTCCACCTGGGTAGCCTAGGGTATAGAAAATGCATGAAAGAGTAATTTAATTAGAATCTGTGCTGTCCATTTTAAAAAATCTTCCATAAAGGGGCGCTTGGGTGGCTCAGTCATTAAGCGTCTGCCTTCGGCTCAGGTCATGATCCCAGGGTCCTGGGATCGAGCCCCACATCAGGCTCCCTGCTCCGCGGGAAGCCTGCTTCTCCCTCTCCCACGCCCCCTGCTTGTGTTCTCTCTCGCTGTGTCTCTGTAAATAAATAAAATCTTAAAAAAAAAAAAAAGAAAAAAGCTTCCAAAAAATAAACCAGTATTTCAAACCAGTTGTAGTTAACATCCCTGAGGTTTAGTTGGTATACTTTCACCAGCCAGAGCAGGGGCTATTTTTATCAAATTCCAAAGCAGATTACTAAAGGATTATCTGAACTCAATAACAGAGAGATAGGGATATGGAATTCTGTTGCTAATGCTTACTCAGTAAGTAAAACTGGACAGTCTATTCCTGTTGTGTGGATTTTTCCACCCATAAAAAAAGATATCAGCTTCTCAACTCAACATAAAGGTACATTATGCCTATTACATAATCTCAAGAATGATTCAATTCAAGAAAACCTAGTGATTATCACCTAAACTTTTGCATGAAAATTTGCTCACCAAAATTTCCTCCTCTTGCAGTTTTCTGGCAATTTCAGCATCATACCATTCCTGATCTCTGTGGGCCACTCGTGATGGAGTAGAGACAGCTTCTTTCATCCCTCTTGGCTTCATTCCTAGAAAAACTCAATGTAATAAGGCAACTGCACTTGTTTTCTGAAAAGGTGCAAAACTTAAAGAAGTTCTTCTTTAGTATCTACCACTGACAATACTGTGACCACCACAGAATTCAGTGTAGGGTGCGCCTGAAATAGTTTTTCCCCTAGGCTTAGAAATGGCAAGGCAGATTATCCACACATTGAAACAAAGTTACCCACACAAAACTGCCAGGCAAAAAACTCCCCTTTCACATAGTTTCTTCAACAGCAGAAAATCATGCAATGAACTCTAAGTGAGGCTTTTGCAAAATAGCAAGTGAAAAAAAGGTGAAGCCATTGAAATAAAAAAAAAAAAGAGAGTAAAGAAAGTTACAGAGTTGGGAGTTTTAAAGAGTCAAACTGTCAAGACTGGAGGAAATGAGGGTCTTCCCTCTATTTAACTCAGCCTTGCACACTTTACTTCAGAGGGAACAGAAAGAGTATCACCTGGGATTTATGTGACAGTATCTGTGAGCCGACCCGACCAGTGGCTCTACCATAGCTTCCGCTCTGATGGTCAACAAACCCACTTGCTTTAGATCTTTCCCATAGCTTTGATTAGTTCAAAGCTACATTTTAGGCAAGATATAACATAAGGGAAATACCAGAGAACATAATGAATGACCTTAGATTTCTATTCCTCTGAGGGAAAAGGTACGTGGGGAACTGATGGGAAATTTTGGCATTTTACTTTGAAATGTTATAAGCAACATGTATTCCTTTTATAACTTTTAATCAAGTGGTAACTGCTAATGTTTATTTCAAAATTGCAGATATATCCCTCTTGGTATCCTGTATAAATTACAATTATTCAACAATGTGAATGTATTGTATTCAGAAGTAATACAAATTTCTAATGCCATGAACAAGATTAATCATCTGGAAGAGTGACTTCCAGTAAATGAACTACTGAAGGGAGAAAGAAAATTTACTCCTAATTGCCTACTTCTTTGTACCAGTGGTTGTCAACCCTAGCTATATATTAAAATCACTTGGGGTACTTTAAATAAACATAAAAATCTCTGACTCAAACCTCAAGGATTCTAATTTAAGTAGCCTGGATGAGATCTGGCTGTCGGTACTTTGGTTGATTGTTTTAAATCCTAATAGTTGATGCTTGCTTGAAATTGGCATTGAAACTACTAGTTTACTATATTATAGCCATCAGAATAACCATACATTAAAACAATTTTTATCAAAATGCCTCCCTACACTTGACAAAAGGGAAGAAAAAAAATACAACTAAATTCTGGGCACATGAAGAAATTTAAATTATCTGAAGTCTCTCTTTATAGAGCTTTATACCCAGCTTTGTGGTAAATCCAAAAGCCACGGACTCATCTGTCTTCCCCCCAAATACAGACAATTAAACCTGGCTTTCTTAGCTTCAGGCCTATTAGCACCTGTTTATTCAGAATACAGAATCCACTTCAACTTCCCATCATCTCTAGAGCTACTGAATCTCATATTGCTGGGCTGGGCTGGCTTTAACCCAGATTTCTGAGTGGTTTGGGACAGTCAGGAAAAAGAGAGATATTCCCAAGAGTGGACCATATTTAAATGAAATATAAACCTCCCTGAGTTATCATAGTTCGGTCATAACTAGAAAACATTATTTCAGGGAAAATAAATGAAATTAGATAGGGAACTGGAAATTGGACAAAGTCGGTGGAAAAGAGGCTGTGGTACTCTCCCATCTATAGGAAACTGATACTTCTTTAAACAGCTCAAAGCTTCACTGAGTCTCACAGGAAAGATCACACTTAGGCCTTGCTCCTTCCATTTTGCCACAGTGAAAGAAACAATAGAGTGGGATGTGCTCATATTTCAACACACTAAACCTTCCCCACTCTTACTCTACATCACAGAATTCGCTGAAAAAGTATTTTGTTTTAGTATCTTTCAAAGACACTTAGAAGACATTCAGACTTAATTGGTTTCACAAGGTGATAAGACTGTCAGTTCCAGGCAGTTTAAAAGAAAATTATACACAGGTCAATGGAACAGAATAGAGAGCCCAGAAATAAATCCATGCATATATGTTCAATTAATCTATGACAAAGAAGCCAAGAATGTACAATGGAGAAAAGACAGTCTCTTCAATAAATGGTGCTGGGAAAACTGGACAGCTACATGCAAAAGAATGAAACTGGACTTATACTCTATAAAAAAATTAACTCAAGTGGATTACAGACCTGAACATAAGAGCTGAAACCATAAAACTTAGAAGAAAACATAAGCTCTTAGAAATGATTTTTTTGGATTTGACACCAAAGTAAAGGCAACAAGAGGAAAACTAAACAACTGGGAATACATCAAACTAAAACACTTCTACACAGCAAAGGAAACCATTAACAAAAGGAAAATACAACCTATGGAATGGGAGAAAATATTTACAAATTTGATAAGAGGTTAATATCCAAAATATATAAAGAACTCATACAACTCAATAGCAAAAAACAATTTGATTTAAAAATGGGCAGATGTTCTGAATAAATATTTTTCCAAAGAAGACATACAGATGGCCAACAGGTACATGAAAAGGTGCTCCACATCATTAATCATCAGGGAAATGCAAATCAAAACCACAATGAAGTATCGCTTTGCATCTGTTAGAATGACTCTTATCAAAAAGACAAGAAATAATGAGTGTTGGGGAGGATGTGGAGAAAAGGGAACCCTTGTGCACTGTTGGTGGGAATATAAACTGGAACAGCCACTGTGGAAAACAGTATGGAGGTTCCTCAGAAAATTAAAAACAGGACTACCATGTGATCCGGCAATTCCACTTCTGGGTATTTTTCTGAAAGAAACAAAAACACTAACTCAAAAAGATATATGTGCCCCCATGCTCACTGCAGCATTATTTACAAAAGCTAAGACATGGGAACAACCTAAGGGTCCATCAACATATGAATGGATAAAGAAGATGTTATACACACAATGGAATATTACTCAGTTATAAAAAAGGACATCTTGTCATTTGCAACAACATGGAGGGACCCTGATGGCATTATGCTAAGTGAACTAAGTCAGCTAGAGAGAAACAAATACCTTATTACCTCACTTATATAGAGAACCATAAAAAAAGAAAAGCACTCATAGATACATAGAACAGACTGACAGTTGCCAGAGGCAGAGGGTAGGGAGTGGGCAAAATGGGTGAAGGGGGTCAAAAGGTATAAACTTCCAGTTATAAAATAAATAAGCATGGTAACTATAGTTAATAATACCTTACTGCATATTTGAAAGTTGTTAGGAGAGTACATCTTAAAAGTTCTCATCACAAGAAAAAAATTTGTACCTGTATATGGTGATGAATGTTAACAAGACTTACTGTGAACATTTTGCAACATACACAAATATTGAATCATTGTGCTGTACACCTGAAACTAATATGTTAACTATACCTCAATATAAATGAATGAATGCATGAATGAACGAATGAATAGTTAATGAGTATTTGAGGTAATACTCTCTCTAAGTCCCAAATATCTAGTGAGGAAATAGTTTATTTGAACTACTGATACATCACTGGAATTTACATGTCTCACAAGCAGAAAATCTCAGTATTAGATTTCTGGCAGGACTGCTCACTAAATGCAGTATGCTCTGTACCAGAGGTAAAAAGAGCTTGTGTAAGTATGTAAGAAGAACTTCAGATACTACATTGGAAGGCTGTACATTTCATTAAAGAAAACAGAGATGCTTTAAAAGTTTTTAAAGTACAGTTAATTGAAGGAAATTAACAGAATGGCTGCTCTTATCTCAATAGCCTAAACAATCCAAAAACTAGCTTTCAGAAGATCAGGTGAGGGCCACCTGGGTAGCTCAGTCGGTTTAAGCGGCTGCCCGCAGCTCAGGTCATGATCCCAGGAATCGAGCCCCAAGTCGGGCTCCCTGCTCAGTGGGGAGTCAGCTTCTCCCTCTGTCCCCACCCTGCTCTCTTGCTCTCTCTCTCTTTCAAATAAATAAATAAAATCTTAAAAAAAAAAAAGATCAGGGGAGCCATACTTAACGGCTGCACATTCGATTCTTTTATTTTTTTCTTTTAGAGAGAGCGAGAGAAGGGGGGAGAGAGAATCCTAAGCAGGCCCCACACTCAGCACAGAGCCCGGCAGGGGACTTGATCTCATGACCCTAAGACCATGACTGGAGCCAAAATTAAGAGTTGGGACACTTAACCGACTGAGCCAACCAGGCGCCCCTGCACATTCAGTTCTTAATCTAATCCTTGCTTGTCTTCTTTTGTTCATCATTCTCCAGTTTAGGGACACTAGAACCTCCCCCAACAAACACAAATAAAGCTTACCTTTAAATTCTCACAGTATAAGCTAAAATTATTAGAAGTACTAATATTGAAGACACATCTATCCCAAACTTGGGATAAGGTAAAATGAGGACTGAGAGATTCTTGGATATCATACAAGAGTATTTTTTAATAAGCCAGTCTGAAGCTTGGGGAATGTCACAGCAGAAGGGTACAAATGTTTTATGGCCCTGAGAGGCTAGAAGTTAACCTGCAGGACATAATAAGCTGTTATGATTTATAGCTCATTAGGAAAGTTACCCTCAAGGAGACAGGGTTTTACTGACCTTCAGAAAGTTAACTAATCTTATATTTAATTTGGCAATTGTATTTTGCACTCCTTTTTCAACTGACTATGCAAGTTGTTAGAACTAGCTCTTTGTCATCCTGCTAGTTTGTTCATTACTAACTTAAATAAAACCTTGGCCTATGCTAACAACTTTAAGTTAAACTGTGCTTTTACAAAAACAAGAATAAACACCAGTATTTAATAATTGCATTTTAAGATTGCCAGTAATCTTCTATTCTAGGGGGTCACAAAATCAAATGCCTCAGGTCCCTAGGAAGGTAAAATTTGTAAAGTTGAATACAGAATGACAGATTAGCAGCTACGTTTTAGCCATTTTAGTACCTGCCTAGCCACAGTGTTTTCTAAACTACTTGTGGGGGGTGCAGGGAAGAAGGAGTTTACCCACAATTCCAATAGGAGGGTTATGAATCAGTGTTTCATGTTAGTTTTACCCTTCCTAAGGCTGTTTAAGAAAGCCTCAAGTATAACTAGAAGCCATAAAGATCAACCGGCCCTCAGAGCACACTTAAAAAGTCAGAATCACAGAATCAGAAATGTAGTGGTAGGAGCAATCCTCCCCCATGTTAGGACTCCAACATGTCTTTCTGCATTTGGATATAGATAGTATAACTTACTAGAGATAGTTATCACTGCCTCCTCTACTCCCACGTAGCTCTTTGTTCAAAGTATATCTAATTTGCAATTGTTTGTTTACATTCATTCTACTTTCTGGTTTGACTTATACCTCTGAGGCTCAGATCCAAGCATATATCCCTGAACATAAAGCCTGAGGCAGGAATATTTTCAGCAGATACTCAGTATGGTTGCTGAACTCAAGTTTCATTTTCTTTATGACCAAGTCTTTTAATAACTTAAATGACTAACATCATAGGAAGAGATAACATGATAGAAGAAACCAACTGAATCAACCTGAATCTGCAACACAGAAGCCAGTTCCAGACCCAGAAGTAGAGGTTGGCTGGGCGGTGATAAGGAAGAAAATAACAGATGCCTCCATGGTACTCCCCAGTAACCCTTGTGTCTCTGTCAAACTTCAGGAAGAGTAAAATAGAACCAGGGAGAGGAGTATGGTCTAATTGCGACTTATAGTGAGTGGTAGAGCCACAAGGAAAACATCATCACGGCAGTTTCCAGGTAAGAACAGAGAGAACCATTACTGTCTCAATGAAGGATGTCAGAGTTAAGCCTCAAAGATGCCAGAAATTTGAGGCTCAAGTCTAACATTCACCTCCTTCCAAACAAATGCCAAGAACACACCCGATGCTGACATTTCAGAACACCAACTGCAGCCTTAGAGTCGAAGATGGTTACAGCTTAGAAAGGAACTTAAGGCAACAGTCTTCCAACGTTACGTACGAGTCTAAAACAAGTCCAAATCACCAGGAGAAACTACAGAAATGATCATATGAGATCCAGAAAGCTGCCTCTTTAGGAAACAGCCCAGCTGATTCTGACAAAAATAGCCTAAGGCCCACAATTAGAAATACGCTGTTATAAGAGACTGCCTATTCAATCTCTTCACTTTACAAATGGGAAAGATGAGACCAAGAAAAGCTAGTATTTCCAGCCTTGTTGGTTTTCTAGTTAGGCAAATATTATGAAGACAGTGTCAACACACCTGACTTACAACCAGAAATTCAGGAGCTTTGATTTGGTATCTGATTCTCTGGTATACAGTCTTGGCACATGAAGAACTGTATCTGGGATGGGCACCTCCACTGCAATCTGGGGCTAAAAGACCTTTGTAAGGAATTGGTGTACCTTCTTAGAAGGCAGTAGGAAAAAGGTACAAATATTTTTCCTCTTAGTATAAACTTGATATTAAGTAGATACCTTTTATAATATTTAGCTCCAGGATTTTTTTTAAATCCATGAGTACAAACTAGAGGGAAAGAACAGGTTGCTTAAGATGCTTATTAAATACATTCGCTTGAATGCACATACCCGGTACCAGGACTTTCAAGGCGACTGTTCATTACCTGGGTCACGGAGCTGGAGCTGTCCCTCACTCTCTGAGAAGGGGGGAGTCCTGGGCTTGTGTCTCCTTTCTCTCTGCTCACCTTGCCCACGGCCCCCCCCATATACAGCTTCCTTGCAATGAAGCCCTGCTTTCTGTGAAGACTTGGGTGAAAGTCGGTCTTGGTGTCTGGACTGTTTTTCCGAATTCCGAGGTCGATGGACACTGTTAGCCTCCCCATCATCAAATCCAGTACTCAGAAACACCTCACCACTGATCCTGGGAAGCGGAGGTCTCCGAAGTCTCTCATGATCAGACCGTTTCCTTTCATGCTGCTCAGTGTCAATTTGGGAATTGGCCCTCACTCTGCCCAAGCTATAGGATGAGAGAAATCTCCCTGATGAACAATGATCTTCTAGTTCTTCCAAGTTCTCCACTGGATGTTTGGGTTTCTTGTTCCTTTGCTTCACAGTGTTTCCATCACTTTGGAGTCTACATGACCTCGAGACTCCAGAACCCAATTCCCTTGCCCTCCTTGACGGTGGCGGGTCTGAGTGGAAGTGCAGGGATGTGAAAAATAGAAATGCAGGTTAACTTAATGAGAGCATGAACTCACTATACAGGAAAGACGGGGCCCAAGTTTAATGTATTTTAAAATGGAGAAGACTACTTTTTCAACGTAACAAACTGAAAAGAGGGGACAGGCATTTATTGGAATGGTCCATGGATACATGAAGGATTCTGGGTACCCAGTCAAAAACGTAAAAGACTAAAATAAAATTATGTGAAATAAATCTGAAAGAGGAGTTTGATTATGATTAGGGACTTAATACAGTACTTTTAATATTTGCCAATAACAAAAACCACAGCCATTAAATGTTAAATTCTACTTATAACACCAATTTGGAACTAAGTGGGGAGAAAATAGGGGTTGAGGGAGTCTTAAAAACAGAGAACAACTAAGCCTAGTGATAACTAAGCTTTCCAGGAAGAGGCTTTCAAATATTCTTACTGGAAATAACAATAAATCTCTATCAGAATGTTGCTAATTTCCATTTAGTTTGGAGAAATGACCCAGATTTTAGTATTTCCCTACTCTCTCCCGCCATGCAGTTCAATGTGGAAAAGGATGGAATAGAGAATTTTGAGTAAATGACCCTGTTATCTTTAGATAACTCTGCTCCCAAACTTTCTTAACTTTGGCAGAGGAAAAAATTAAAAAGGGATGCCATAACAGAAAACAGGAAAAGGAGTCACTTCCACCCCTACATTCATTTCAAAAAATGATACTGTATTCTTTGTATAAAAATAGTGTGTGCTAACTATACAAGTCCCTAAATGTAACACAAAACAGCACATAGAGGGGTGCTTTTGTTAGGTCTCATTGAGGCAGGAGCATACTATGAAAACAAAGGAAAGACATTACTATGCACTTTGCAAGGCATATTTATTTTAACATTTTCTAAGTACATTCTGTCATAAAAAGACATCCTAATTCCACAGAAAACTGCTAAATTAGCTAAGATACATTCCCTGTTGAAATTACCCACTTGCTGAACTGCATTTGAAACAGCGACCCCAGTTTGATGGGATACAGAGGAAATAAAGAGCTATACATTTTCTTAATTTTTAGGGGTTTTGTTTCATTTTTTTAAGTTCGTTATTGCTAATCAAATAAAGGAACAGAGGAAGAGGAGATACGTGCTAAATGTATCATTGATGCCATAAGGGTTCTCAAAAACTTCAAATCGTTTCCTCTGGAGCTTTCCAGAAGAGAAGGAAATTTGCTTCAAAGATGACGTCTAAACTAAAATCTGTCTTCTAGGGGCGCCTGGGTGGCTCAGATGGTTAAGCATCTGCCTTCGGCTCAGGTCATGATCCCAGGGTCCTGGGATCGAGCCCCACATCGGGCTCCTGACTCAGCGAGGAGCCTGCTTCTCCCTCTCCCTCTGCCTCTCTCCCTGCTCATGCTTTCTCTCTCTGTATCTCTGTTTCTCAAATGAATAAAATCTTTAAAAAATAAATAAATAAAATAAAATCTGTCTTCTAAAAAGTTTACAAAATCATCTGTAGAATTTATTACATTTATTTTTTACATAAAAGTGAACCAGAACAATTATTCTCTATGATAGAGAAGTAGCTATTATTTTACCAAACTATTATTTTAAGTATATCTTGACAATTGAGAAAGAATCAACTGGCTACTGCTGTGAATTATTAATATAATATTGACCTGCTACTTAAACGATGCCCACATTCGGGGAACGATGGTTTAGTGTTAATACCGGTGTTCCATGGAGAGCTGCATGAAAAAAGTCTGCCTTCCTGCCCCAAAACAAGGGCGGCTTTATTTCTTGACATGGATATGTGAGGCTATGATTGTTTTGTTGTTGCTTTTAATTCTTCCTAAAAAGTTAATTGATATTAGTACTTCTACTTTAGGTAAGTGTGCTCCAAGAATGAGAACAGAGCTGTCACTACATTTTCACAGAGTTGACAGGAAAAAATATATGCTGTCTAGTTTACTTGTGGTTATCTTTAAACCTGGGAAAGAAAAAAGACTGGGGTCGGGGAATCTGTTTGAATCCTTTGAAACCCTATCCAGTTAAGGACTGAGACTTGTATGTTCCTTGGACCAAGTTATTTGGCAAATATAACTAACTTACTTATATAGCCAATGCATATGTATTTATATGCACACATACATATATATACACATTTTATCTGTGTGCTTCCATGTTTGTCTTTCAAAATAAGATGATTTTTGTGTAGATATGCAAGATATTGTTATATACACATAATACTGATATATGCATAAACAACAGTACTTTAAAGCTTAAGTCCTCACCAAAATTACATTATTTGATCTTCTTAACATCCACGTGAAGGATGTATTTTTTAAAATCTCCATTTTATAGATGAGAAAAAGGCTTAGTGTGATTACAGTAGATAACTTCCCAACACCACAATTGTTCTAAGGAAGGGATGGAAGTTGAACTAAGGTCTTATGACTCCAAAGACCATGATTTAAAAAAAAATTACTAATACGCCTATGATACAGGTATGGCTTTGAAAGAAAAACATGGATTCACAACTGAACAAGACATACCTTTTCAGCTGATATAAATCTGACATATGTTTTAGATAATTTCAAATTTGCAGAAAATCTATAAATGATCATTTTTAAGATTTAAGCTTAAGTAAAATAAAAGCGAAAAAGAAAACCACTTCTATAATGATCTACTTTAATTATTATGTAATTAAAGCAAAAATCATAGTATACATAAAGATAGAGAAGCACAATTAAATAATATCCCTATGTGTTGGGAAAAGACCACTGCAAAGGACACAAGGATTATACTTTGTGCATATGAACTGAATTATAATGTGGTTTCTATGGAACTTAACTTGGTCTGACTCAAAGGCAAATGAATGAGGATCACACATGTTCAGCAATCTATAAACTCTCAACAACAACACAACTGAAGAGGAATTCTAATATTTATATGCATATGATCAGGAAGTCACAACTTCACGATTTTTTTTTTTTTTACTTTAAGGTGTCCCTGAAAAACCACTGAATTCTTAACATGGTCTCCTGCCCTAGAGGATGATAGCACTCTGGTTAAAATAACCAGATTTGAGCCCCGATTGAAATTAGTCAAAGGTTTTAACAGAGGAAGGCCAAAATTAATACTTCAGTATACTTAATTACTTGCCATCCTAATGTTTTTATAGACTTAATAGTTTTAAACAGTTGCTTTTATTTGCAGTGAACATGATTCCAGAGCAGAAATAAAAATAAAAACAAATGAAAACCACCAGTGCACATTTCTAAGCTTTTAATTAAAGCTCAAGAATAAACTCTTTACCTTCTGGTCTCTAGCACAGAAATATATGGCAACATTTTTTTTTTCTTTTTAAATGATGTAATACATGATTTCATTAGAAAAACCAGCATAAGGAAAATGGCTTTCAAAAAAGAGCTGAGCATTTTACATATGGAAGAAGAGCACAAACAATCAATAGAGAATCAACCTGCTTATTAAGTGCAATAGAGCCGAGCTCTACTGATAACAATAAATTTAGAGCGTGACTGGGCAAGACTGCACTCAACTATAATAATCCTAACAGCTACATGTGCATCCCTTTCATTCTACTCATCAAAGACAAATACCTACTTCCTTTTTCCAATGAAATTATAGAGAAGTAATTGATAATTGGCTCACAAGGGCCTTGGGGATCACTGACCTTAATATCTTTACCCTCTAGAAGATGCTTTAGGCTTTACTTACTTGTTATCCTAAGTCTGGTCTCCAAGCTGAACTACAATAAATACTGGTAATAGGTAAGAAATGTCTTTCCTTTGACAGATCTTGAAAAAAGATGGAACAATACTTGCAAATACTCATTTCCCAACACACTTTTAAGATAAAGAATCACTGGCACCACGACAATGCCATCACCACCACCACACTGCAAAAGCAGATACTAGAGAAGAGAAATTCGGAAGGGACTTCTCTCCCTCAGGAATTTTTCTGTATGGCAATCAGATAGCAAGGAAGCATCAAGGACAAATAATGAACACAGTATATTTGAATTTAATTTTGTCATCAGCACACATACTCATCGGCCTATGTTTGAAATACAAGAGGCATGGAAAGAAGCTTTGTTACCCAACTGATGTATGATGTATCATCTTCATTATTCGTGGCACTCTGCTGCTTCGGACATTCTGCCCAGACTCCTTGAGAAAGATCAAGCCCAGAGACTCATCCCCATTTTCTACACCCCAGTTTATGTGCTTAGAATGTAGTACAGCATTCCAAGTGGCTACAGCACAACAGAATGCATGTCAAATCTTACAAAACCACAGTTGTTTTAAGAGCCATAAAAATAGCTCTGGTCATTCAACTAAGGAACAGATGAATTCATTAGATTCAGAGAGTATTTGGCCACAAATCCACATGGGCCCTGAGGTCACTTTACAGACAAATTTAAAGGGACATCTTATGGTTGAGTCTAAGGACAGAGTAAATCACAATGTAGCCATTGTTACCTCCATTTTCATAATAGTAACTATCTCCATAAGCACTGGATCCAGAAGACTCTGGAAAGTGTTTCTTTCGTTTTTTCTCTTCCTGTAACTCCTTTTCTTGCAAAAGGCGAGCTATGTCCTGCAAGTACAGAGAGAAGGCTAATCAATATTACCAGAAAATAAACAAACCTTTTACAATGGAACAGATTCCATTCAGTAGCCCTACAAGTCAGTGGTTTGATATTCCACTGCCAAGCTTTTGTGGGCTCTGTCCATAGCTTTCCAGACTTTCTGGCATTAAGCTCATGCTATTCAAATGCCATACATAACTGCTCAACAGGAGTGGCACATGATCCAGATGAACAAGAAAGCCTTTTTTTTTTTTAATTGAAATTGAAATTTAATTCAATCTGGAGACCTACAAACCTAGTATTCCTAACGCTGGTTATACAATAGAATTTCTAAAATACTTATTTGTGGGCCCTTTTTCCAAGCTGATGATTCAGTAAGTCTGGATGGAAGAGTGCAGTAATCTATGAAACTTTACAAATTGTGTGTATAATTTAATTTTAAAACTTTATAAAAGAATTCTTCAGCTGATCCTTGATTTAGCTTTGCATTAGAGTACCACTGTCTTAACTGAAAAAGAGAAAACAGTATTCTTTCTGTCTCCCTCTTGCTTCATCTCCAGGCAAGTTTTTAGCAGTTACTGAGTGATGAATAACATTCTGATCCTGCCCCCCAAAAGATTACCATCATTGTATGAAAACAAAGGTATGTGCAAATAACTATAATACCATTAAATCATAAATGCCTCAGTAAGAGGGTAAAAATGTCAATGTGAGTATAAAAGAGGCAAGTCTTATTTCTGCTTAATAGTGCAAGTCTTTGCATTTGCGTTAGGTTTTGAACTGAATTCCAATAGGCAAAGTAAGGAGGGAGAACCACCTCAGAAAAAATATGAATGTTTTAATGGGCAACAACCAACAGTCCATTAGAACACAGGAGTTGGGGTGTTACAGAGAAAAGTGAGGCTAGAAAAACAGTCTGAGACTGGATCACATGCACTCCTTACACATAATCTCAACAAGTCTGGAGTCCACAGTGTAAGGGATCAAGGGTTACTAAAGGTTTGAGCTAGAGAGTGGCAGTGTTCTGACTCTGAAGCTTATTTCTATGAAAGAACCACAAAGCAGCACATAAACTTTGTTCCATGTACACTTTTATGGAAAGACGGTCTCTAGGTGTCACCAGATTCTTAAAGACCAAACAAATATGCAACAGCACTCCCTGGTGAAAAATAAAAATCAGAGGTAGTTTGAGGTGCTTACTTTATATTTACAATAAGGAATACAAGAAGTACTTAGATGTTGATATAAATTTTGAAGCAAGAATTCATTACTACTCTCCCTTTTGCAATTTTCCAAATAAGTCAAAATGAAGAATATACTAAGGCTGGAAGGCAAACTTCAAAAAAAATTCATCTGAATGAATCAATTACTTTCATGTCAGTGTAGAAACATGATGGGTGCCGCAGCTAGGTAAATCTAAATTCAAACTTACGAATATACTATTGATATAATGTCTTTAATTGATTTCTATGCTGGAAGCTTCTCATAAATTTTTGTGAAAGATATACATACCTTTCTACCAATCAACTACTCAATCATCTCTATATATATGGACATGTATATACACACACATACATGCATATCTACAGATATACGTACATATCTATATCTACATATTATACACACACACATCTACTTATACACATACATTACCAATCAATCTTAAAGTCAAACGTCTTGATTCCCTAATGCATCATTTTAATAAACCTATTACCAGGTATAGCCCCTGTGCTAGGTTCATATTTGATGTCTTATAAAGTAATACATCAATCAGTTCAAGAGACAGATAACTTGTTCTCCCAAAGCTAGTATTATTATAGAAGAGTTTCTCAAATCCCTATACTTCTTATTGCAAAATAGGAAGAAAATGCAAAATTTCCCTGAGTTGTCATCATGTTTACTAAGAACCTAACAGTACAAATGGTTTGCTTTATAGGAAACAAGAAATTTCCCTTGCCGTAATGGAGTAAAAATATAAAGGAAAATTACTAGGTCCAACTGCCAGCAGAAATTATTAAATTAAACTATGCTTTAGAGACCTTATACTTGCTTTTCTGCTACTGAATTTTGTCCTAATGAATACATAGTAATAAGCCGTGTTCTCTGTGTGAAGAACCAGGAAAGAAACAAGGATGATGCTGCTTCTTGACCGTGCATTAGCTAGTCAAAGAAAGTGCTTTTCATCAAGGAAAATAACAGTTATACACCTTAGCACCCAAACCTCTTGCTCTTTTAAGCTCTCAGCTCTTTTCTGGGTGAGAGGATAGGCTGCCAAGGCCTATGAGGGAAAGGATCAGGGCCTCACTGACAAGGGACTGCTGTGTTAAGAGCTGAGGCGTGGCCCAAGTGCATGCCCCTCCCCCCTCTGCAGCATTACTATGCACTGCCTTCAGGGAGGTGATGTCAGGAGAAAGAACGTCCCCTGAAACAAACTGAAGATGGCAATTAGTCACGATGCTACGTGCAGCTTAGTCACCCACGACATAAACAACCTCCCTGGTCCTCCTCAGCTTCCTTCCTGTTAAAGGTTAGTCTAGAACAGCATTTCCAAAGCTTTGTTCCTGAGAACCCCAGTCTCTAAAGGTTCTCCACAAAACACAAGGCACTCAGTGGAAAGCATGTATTACATCCAACTCTTTAAAATGCATATTAGCCTACTTTAAAACTTTGGTAAAAGAAACCTGTTATCTTCCTATAACCTAAAAATACTCAAATTTATTTTGAGAAAGAAGCTTTTTACATAAAAAGTATAAACCTTATAGAATTACTGTTTCACAAAACATAACTTGAGAAAACAAACCTAAAAGAACTCATAAGCCCTTCTGAAGTCATTTTCAATTATTTTTTAATTAATCATATTAATCAGGTAGGCTTACTTTGGGCTCATGTGTAAAAAAACAAAAAACAAAAAACACAAAAAAACTCTGTAATTAGAAGACTTTCTGGTAAATAGATTTATTGGAATGAAAATTCACCATTGTATCTAAATCTTGAAAATGTGAAACTGTGAGCATTAAGACAGAACACAGTTAAGGATCTCTAGATGCTAGAAAAAAAGTCATTTTAATAAAAACATAGTTTTACTGATTGCCTTCAATAGGCCAAACATTCTCCTACAGACCTATAGAGAAACAGGATATATGGCCAATATTTGCAAAGTTCTTACCTATTAAGTTTTAGAAGCAAAATGATTAGTGTAATTTAAGACAAACAAAGGTGAGTGCTCTAAGAGAGGCATTATCACAAACAAGGTGCAGCAGAGCCCAGAGGAGCCTAAAACATCTTTCCCAAGTAGATGGCAAATTAGGAAACCATTGGGGCTCAGTGGATTGAGTGTCCAACTCTTGATTTCGGCTCAGGTCATGATCTTGGGGTCCTGGGATTGAGCCCCGCACCAGGTTCCACACTCAGTGGGAAGTCAGCTTGGGGTTCTCTCTCTCCCTCCCTTCTGCCCCTCCCCCCTGCTCATTCTCTCGCTCTCTCAAATAAATAAAATTTTAAAAAATTACTAAACTATTATATTGGATTCCTTAGGCTATTTTTTGGTTTATATAATTTTATATCAGGGTTACTTTTCCCTGAAAGTTTACACTTCTATTCCTCAATGGTAGTGGGTTTCAAAATGAGGAAATCTTTGGCATAAAAACAATCAAGGAAATCTAAAAATGTGATTGTCAAGTGACTATTGGAAAGAAAAAAAAAAAAGAAAGCCACTCCATTAGATTGCTACATTTCTTCATCAACTAGCAATTAACATCTAATTCAGTAGGGAACTCGTAACAGGTATAATCTTCAGAGGGTGTAAGAACAGAAAACAACATAGCAATTCTATGGATGTAAAAACATCCTTATGACCAAGTTAAGAAGAGAGAAGAATTTTCTCAACCAAAAACCTTCTACTCATTCCCCCTTTCTGGCCATATATGTATAATCTTATTTTTAAAGTGCCAAAACAAAGGGCATCTTTTTTTTTAGTAGCTAAAATGTACTGTTATTTGAGCTATGCTCTAAATATTACCAACTTACATAAATATTCTTTTAGAACATGAAATTCTAATCACTTTAAGAATGTTATGAAAAAGTACCATGGTTCACACTAGATTAATTTTTAATGTAAACTGATTACTAAGTCTATCCCTGAACAGTTCATATTATAAGTGGCTTCAAACTGTTGGACTAGTGCCACAGATTTTTCATAGCATGGTCATGCTAATGTTTACTTAAGCAAAAAAAAAAAAAAAAAAAAAAAAAAAGTTTTGCCCTAAAATAGTTGCACATTCACATATATTTGGATCTAGGTTCAAAAGACACATATGTGTATCTGTAGATATTCACACACACATACAGAAACACACACAACATATGCTTAAGAGTTTTATTTAAAAATAACTTCATCAACTAAACACACATTCCTTAGCTTTATGAAACAATGACAAATGCTAATGCTATAAACCCAAGAGAATAATCCCAATGGGATTAGCCCACTTTTCTTAGTTACAAACTCATACAGTCCAGTATTCTCAAAGGCTATAACCCTGCTTCAACAGGGGCCTAGAGAGCAATGCACTACTATAGTCACACTACATAAAAAAGTTTAAAAAAAAAAAAAGAAAAAAAGGAAGAAAGAGGGAAAGGAAGGAGGGAGGGAGGAAGGATGGGAGAAAAAAGAAAAAAGAGAAGGGGGAAAGTAGGGGAGAAGCAGGAGAGGGGAGGCTACAATCTGGCAAGAATATTGAAGACCTTTCTTTCTTTCTTCCCTTCCTTTCTTTCCTTTTTTTTTAAAAAAAAACTTTTCTACATCTGTCTCCCTGCATGGAAATGCTACTTTCATCTATGCTCTGTTAAAAAGCACAATAAAATTATAGCATGACAAAGCCAGAAATGGTAATTCACCCACACAGAGTTGTATAACTTCTCATGTACAATGTTGTTCAAGAAAAACACTCTGCCCCAAGAGAAAAGAGGCCTTGGATTCTACATCTGGTTGTCTGGGGGGTTATAAACTACTGAAGAGAGCTGACCCCAAAAATCTCTGAAAAGGACATGTGGGTGATCAGAGAGGAATTTTCCATAGCCCTGCTGTTCAGTAAGAACTTACTAGCTAAGCAGACTCCAGAAGGAAACAGAAGAGCACAGACAGAGAAAAAAATTAAAAAAGAATTACGACAGTTCATGAGTAACAGGCAATTTTTTTTTAAGAGTTGGCCAGAAAAACTTCCACTATTATCTCATCTCAGTCTCAGTCTCCTCTGCGAGGCACAGGGACTAAAATAAACAAATAGGCATCATACATCCTTCAATGAGAAGCTTTACTGCTCAAATTTTGTTCATTTAATATTAATAACATACCAGTCAGCTGAGAGTCCTATCTTTTGATAAGAGACTGTCTCGGCATGGTAGGCATCTTCTAATCTAAGGCATCAGCTGGAAAATCAAAGAGTCTGAATGGAGTTGTTAAGGCTAGTCTCACAAAATCTCCCCCAACTGGATTTCTCCTTCAATCCCTCCACTGCCCTGGGGAATGGGGCCATCAGAGCCGCTCAAACAGTACTGGAAGGCAGGCTAGCTGGGAGGCCGGCGACGGCAAGGAAATGCTTGAGGATTGCTCAGATCACACCAGACTGGAATACACTTAAGCCTGTTTATTTTCCCCCTTTCTAATTTAGCACACATCTCTTTCTATAAGAGAAATCAGAGCTGTTATAAAAGGCCGAATGGTGTGGAAACGACTGGCAAGAAAGTAAAAAAGGAAGAGAAATTATTAACCTAGTATGTCCCAGAGGCCTTACATACACGATCTCACTTACACCTCACAACAGCCCTCCAGGATATGTACAATTATCATGGCTTTTCCAATTTGGAACCTGAGGTTCTACATGGTTAAGTGAGATTCTGAAAGTCACAGCTAAAAGTTAAGGAGCTAAGATTCAAATCCAGAACGTTCTAACTCCAAAGTTTACATGTTTTCTGTTGTGTCATACATAGGACATCTGTGTCAGAAGCGGTCAGTCAGGGGACCTGAACTGTACAGACATTTCTCTGGCATCTTATTATAGCTGGGGACTAGTCACTGATTCTTCAAGTCTTAATTTCTTAATTTGAAAAAGAGTTAATCACTAAACTGCTTACTTTATCTGGTATTACCAGGAGACTATTTATTGTGATTGCTGTTTAGATTCTACATGCCTAAATAAAGTGTTTTGGTTTCTCTTTCTTTCCTATTTTTCCTGAATGGGGGGAAAAAAAAATCACAGGACACCAGTAGCATTTATAAGAAGCCAACTTCATTACTCTGTTATTTTTAAAATAGGAGCTTTCCTGTTTAGAAAATATAATCACTTCTTTCAGTTCCCAGTTTCATCCCCAAAGCAAGCCTTACAGAGAGGCAACACATCCTGTAGTAAAAAGAGTTCCTGTGTTGATAACAGGAAGGCTAAAAAGCAATCCCTAATTCTTACTTGCAGTTCTGATGATCACAAAATCATGGTCTGTTTCTTAAAGAAACAGCTAAATACACACATACCAGGTGTCTCATGCTCACCTGGCATAGAACAAGGAGTCTTACAGGAACAAGGATGGCTCTGTGGGAGCAGCAATATATCCAGGCTAGTTTACGGATGGCCCTCATCCCACCTATTTAATAGGGTGACCACGTGTGCTGGTACCCAGGACAGGCCCAGTTTATGTAACTATTAATACTACCCCCTTTAACCCAGAAAAGTATTTGAGTACACATACAATAAATCATATGGTCATTCTATTATTAAAATTATAAATCATTTTCTTCCTAAATATAACCTTAATCTGTGGCCAAGAACAGCAAGGCAGACACAGAATTAATACAAACTGAAAAAGAACTGTTTGTAAGAAATGCTAAAAGTCCAACACAAAGGCAAGTAATATTTAACTGCAAATTCAAGTCGTCTTACCAACAAAACGCTGTTGCTACTTTTAGTCATTTTCAGCTTTAAAAACAATACAATTTAAAAATATCTACAGAATCAAGCAGATGAGTTAGTTCTTTGAGGCAGCGCTCATAGGAGAGTGAAGCCACAAACAACGAAGAGTGGGAGCAATGGTGGCTCCTGGCTTCTCACAGTGACACCCCCTGACTCTTGTTCAGCCTACACTCACGTCTGCTCTCTCTTAAGACTGTAGGAATAACCCACAGACATACAGCCTGTATTGGGTTGAACAGTGTCCCCTAAGAATTCATTTTTACCAAGAACCTCAGAATAGGACCTTATTCAGAAATAGGGTCTTCACAGATGTAATTAGTTAAGAGAAAGTCATACTAGACTAGGGCCAGTCCTCAATCCAATGACTGGTTCCCTTATAAGAAAAGAAGAGGAAGCAAAGATACAAGAAGAAGGCCATGTGACAATAGAGGCAGAGGCTGAAGGGATGCTGTGACACGTCAAGGAATGCCAGTGACCGTCAGGAGCCACCAGAAGGCAGGAAGAGGCAAAGAAGCATCTTTCCCAGAAGGTAGCAGGGTCCCACCAAAACCTTGATTTCGGATTTCTGGCCTCCAGAACTGTGAGAGAATATATTCCTGCTGTCTTGAGCCATCAAGTTTCTGGTGATTTGTTAAAAGCAGTCCTAGGAAACTAATTCACACCTTATGTTGAATTACCGTCATTTTTTAAGATTTCACTTAGGTTATCAAGGGGCAATAAAAGGTGGTCCAGGGAAGGCAATACTTGGACTATGCACCCCCAAAGCCAAGAGCTCTGCTGCCCATCCGGGAACCCCACCCTGAGCCCGTGAACACTGGAAGCAGCCACTCCCCTGGGCTGGGGTGGAGGGGCCTTATCTACGTGGTACCTCGTCCTTCTTCTCCTGAATGCGGCGTCTCTCCGCCTCAATAGCCAGCTTCTCCTGGATCTCCTGAGCAATTTCACAGTCCTGTTGTTCACTGAAAAATAAAAGTGAAAACAGTATGAATAAAGAAAATAAGGAATGATTTTTCTATAAATATAACACAATTTACTGGATACTCACTATGAGCCCATGCACATTTTTTATCTCACTTAATCCTCACAAGAGTGATGCAAAGAGGTTGATATTATCACATCTTACAGATAAAAAATCTGGGGCCCAGAGCAGTGAAACCATTTCCTAAGATCACAGAGAAAATACGTGGCAGAACCAGAATCCAATCCCCAGGCATTACAATGCAAAGTCCCATGCTTATTCTACCCTCCTGAATCACCTCACCATACCGGGGCCACTCTACAGACAGCCATGTTTTCTCAAGAATACGCAAAGGAGACATCGACTATGAGATTAATGTCCACAAGTATCAAAATATAGATATGGAGTACACGGAAAAAAATTGGGAGAGAGCTTACTATATGTCACTGTGGTCACTTAGAGGTGCTGGTATGACTTTAAAATGATTTCTATAAATTTTTAAATTAGATGTATTTTTCAGTTTCACTAATACTTAAATTCCTCCCCAACTTCAGTTCCCAACAGACACCTCTCTGGCTGATGCCAGTTTTCTTAACACTCAGGGCCCTAAGAAAATCAAATGTAATACTGTGGCCAGCACAGTTTGTTTTGTTTGGGCATTCATGCATTCAACAAAGGTTTAAATAACACCTGCACTATGCTCAACACTGAGGATACAAACATGAGGAAATCCTCACTCTGCACTCAGAGGCTCACAATACTTTTTGGTGGAAGAAACAAGAGAATGATTTTGGTGGAAGAAACAGATCCTTAAAACAGCACCTCTAAAACAGCAGTTCAAACACAAAATAGGACTTGGATTTCTCAGAGGTAGCTACAAGTGTGCATGTCTTTTGGCTTCAGGTTTCAAGAAACGTCAACAGACAGTCCAAAACTCCCAAATGCGATAGTTCTGGAGACCAACCTTTACACAAAATTGTTAGCTAGGAATGAAGAGCAGAAACATGCATAGAGTTTACTATTTAAAAAGATGATAGAATAAAACTACATTTGTGACCTATGGATGCAGTCTGTTTCCTAAACAAATATATCCTCTCACTGTCCCCCTGCCAAGTGAACTTAAAATATTCAGTAGGGGTGCCTCAGTGGCTCAGTCAGTTAAGTGTCCGACTCTTGATCTCAACTCGGGTCTTGATCTCAGGGTCCTGAGTTCAAGCCCTGCATTGGGCACCATGCTGGGTGTGGAGTCTACTTAAAAAAAAAAAAAAAAATACTCAGTGAATCTCAGTCTTGGTGGTATATTCCATGTTTAACAAACAGCATTTTGTAATTCAAAAGTGTTGTAGGGGGCAATAATCCTAATTGCAATTAAGGAATTAAAACCCATATACTCTATTCTGACAAAACTGAAAGGATAAAAATTATTCTAATTATTCTATATGGAAATGGGTCACTTTCAACATGCTTGGAAACAGGTGTAGGTGGAAGATGTGTGTATACACGTAGGTGTGTACACATGTGTTACGCACACACAAGACAGAAAGGAAGGCAGAGAAGGTAAGACAGCACAAGTAAGGGACGGCAAGACCCTCCGAATCAGTAGGAAAACCACTGGAGAAGGTTGCTGCAGACTGGATTTCTGGTCCCGTCACTGACAGCCAGACGGCCGTGCCCTCTCGTGGGCAATTTACCAGCTCTAGAAGTATTTGGACTTAACGACTTCATCTTATAGGTCTAATATTTTAGGATTCTTAACCACTCAAACCAAAGAACTGAAAATCTACTCAGAATAATTTTTATTTATATATCCTCTTTTCATTTACTCACTTCTAACAATTAAGAATCATATACAAAATCATGGTCTTCGTTTTCAAAGACTTCTCTACTCGGATCTTCCAAATTCATGTAAAATCTTTACAGGAGTTAGCAACTATTAATTATATGCAGATGATAACAGATGGGAAGAAAGCAGAAGCTCAGCAGAGAGGACAAGTCCAAATCAAATGTGACATAGATGTACTTCCTAGTATAAACAACAGCCAAAATATGGAAAGAGCCCAGATGTCCATGGACAGATGAATGGATAAAGAAGATGTGGTGTGTGTATACACACACACACAGACACACATACGGACACACACACACACACACACACACACACACACACACACACACACTGGAATACTACTCAGCCATCAAAAAGAACAAAATCTTGCCATTTGCAATGACTTGTACGGAACTAGATGGTACTATGATAAGCAAAATAAGTCAGTCAGAGAAAGACAAACATCACAGGATTTCACCTATATGTGGAATTTAAGAAATAAAACAGATGAACATAAGGAAAGGGGAAAAAAAATAAGATGAAAATAGAAAGGGAAATGGGAGAAGATATTCGCAAATGACATATCAGATAAAAGGCTAGTATCCAAAATCTATAAAGAACTTATCAAACTCAACACCCAAAGAACAAATGATCCAATCAAGAAATGGACAGAAGACATGAACAGACATTTCTCCAAAGAAGACATCCAAATGGCCAACAGACACATGAAAAAGTGCTCAACATCGCTCAGCATCAGGGAAATCCAAATCAAAACCTCAATGAGATACCACCTCACACCAGTCAGAATGGCTAAAATTAACAAGTCAGGAAACGACAGATGTTGGTGGGGATGCGGAGAAAGGGGAACCCTCTTACACTGTTGGTGGGAATGCAAGCTGGTGCAACCCCTCTGGAAAACAGTATGGAGGTTCCTCAAACAGTTGAAAATAGAGCTACTGTATGACCCAGCAATTGCACTACTGGGTATTTACCTCAAACATACAAATGTAGGGATCTGAAGGGGTACATGCACCCTGATGTTTATAGCAGCAATGTCCACAATAGCCAAACTATGGAAAGAGCCAAGATGTCCATCGACAGATGAATGGATAAAGAAGATGTGATGTGTGTATGTATCAATGGAATATTATGCAGCCATCAAATGGAATGAAATCTTGCCATTTGCAACGACGTGGATGGAACTGGAGGGTATTATGCTGAGCGAATTAAGTCAATCAGAGAAAGACATGTATCATATGATCTCACTGATATGAGGAATTCTTAATCTCAGGAAACAAACTGAGGGTTGCTGGAGTGGTGGGGGGTGGGAGGGATGGGGTGGCTGGGTGATGGACACTGGGGAGGGTATGTGCTATGGTGAGCGCTGTGAATTGTGTTAAGACTGATGAATCACAGACCTGTACCTCTGAAACAAATAATGCATTATATGTTAAAAAAAAAAAAAAAAGAAGATGGTAGGAAGGGAAAAATGAGGGGGGGGGCAATCGGAGGGGGAGATGAACCATGAGAGACTATGGACTCTGAGAAACAAACTGAGGGTTCTAGAGGGGAAGGGGGTGGGAGAATGGGTTAGCCTGGTGATGGGTATTCAAGAGGGTACGTACTGAATGGAGCACTGGGTGTTATAATGAATCATGGAACACTACATCAAAAACTAATGATATAATGTATGGTGATTAACATAACATAATAAAATTAAAAAAAAAAGAAAGAAAATAGAGCTACCCTACAACCCAGCAACTGCACTACTGGGTATTTACCTCAAAGATACAAATGTAGTGATCCGAAGGGGCATGTGTTTATAGCAGCAATGTCCACAACAGCCAAACTATGGAAAGAGCCTAGATGTCTATCAACAGGATGAATGGATAAAGAAGATGTGGTGTGTACACACACACACACACACACACACACACACACACACACACACACACAATGGAATATTATGCAGCCATCAAAAAATGAAATCTTGCCATTTGCAACAACATGGATGGAACTAGAGGGTATTATGCTAAGCAAAATAAATCAATCAGAGAAAGACAAGTATCATATGATCTCACTGATATGAGGAATTTGAGAAACAAGACAGAGGACCATAAGGGAAGGGAAGGAAAATTGAAACAAGATGAAATCAGAGAGGGAGGGAGACCATAAGAGACTCTTAATCTCAGGAAACAAACTGAGGGTTGCTGGAGTGGAGGGGGGTGGGAGGGATGGGGTGGCTGGGTGATGGACACTGGGGAGGGTATGTGCTATGGTGAGCGCTGTGAATTGTGTAAGACTGTTGAATCACAGACCTGTACCCCGAAACAAATAATACATTATATGTTAACAAAAAAAAAAAAA